AAAAAAAAAAAAAAAAAAAAAAAAAAAAAAAAAAAAAAAAAAAAAAAAAAAAAAAAAAAAAACTAGGTGTATATAAAAGGCTTAAAAACTCGACAATCTCATGGCATATTTTATTAAATTCTTTTAAGGTTCACGTGAACTCTTCGATTGCTATAATTCCTTATGGTTAATTGGAAATTTAGAATATCTCCTTCACGCAAGTCTCTTTTAAATATAAAACGTGTTATCATTTCTCTGGTGTGTGCAAAATTTGTTTAGTTTGAATAGGAACTGTTGTGGGACAAAAGATACTCGGTTTATACCAAGTTAGAGGTTGGTGCGTCTAATCTTTTGTGTTTGGTGTCAAGGGTAAGCTTTTTTTTTTTTAATTTTTTTTTATCGAACTTAGTGGTCACTATACAGTAGGATCATGCAATTGTCTCATGAAAACAATTGTGGTACACTCCAGCGATCTAGACACTCATTCATATAAGAAAAGCTTTTGAGGAACATGAATGTTTTTCGTGTTCTAAAGGACCCTTTTGTCTCGAATAGTGGTTTGAAGCAATCTTTATTCCCACACCTCTTCATTGGTCGAAGAATATCTTTATATTTCTCCTTAAACACACTCTCCCAAGCACACTTTTTTTTTTAATAAGAAATAGGGAGTTGTGGATTAAGCATCAACCAAATGTGACTCGATCTTAATCTTGAACGAGTTATGAACTCCTGCCTATGAACGTTTATCCTTTGATTTGCATGGGTGGAATGAAAGCTGGGAACATAATATTTCGAGATGGAATTCACTTCTTTTCATATATGGGAAGTAGATGAGTTATTCTCTAGAGTGTTGATTTCAAGACTTGAACAATGGGGCTGTACCCTTTTATTGGCTCGAGAGATACTTGACTTATGATTTGATCATAAAAAAAATTATTCAGTAGAGAATTAGTGACACTTAAGGTGAAAGATGTAATTATAGGAGTAAAATGAACTTTTAACTCAGCTGTAGTTACGAACAACTCGTAAATGGTTTAATTGTTTGTAATGATTATATGAATGGACATAACTTATACTAAAATGCATAAGAGGATAAGTCTAAGTTTATAACGGAGTAAACTATAGTTAATGAATAAAAATTAATTAATTAATTTTGTATCATTGAAGTATATAATCTATAGATCCATAAGATCTCTTAATTACTAGTTTAGAGTAACGCTAAAAAATTTAATTTAATTGAATTAAATATATTAAAAGAATTTTTTTTATTAGATTTAATACATTAAATATTAAAATAATAAATATATTAGATACATCAAATGTGAATATGGGTTGAAATTTGGATGAGATTGAAATGAGTGAAATATATATTTGGATATCATAATTGAATAAGATATTATATTATAATCTATTGATATTCAAATATATTATTTGTAAAAAATTATCTAACAATTCCCATAAATAGTATACTTGTGTTGAGTCAAAAGGTCACTCATGGCTTTTACTTTCTCTGTATAGAATTTTGTTGAAACTCTATCCTTTGGGATCCCATTTCAAGAAGCTCCATAAACCTTGGTCTCGTGCTTGAGTTATAATAAGGAAAATCTCGTAGAATATGGAAGAATTTCTGTGTTGTTGGAATACATCAATGAGGCTTGCAAGCTGCGGTTTCTAAAAATGTAGAGTTCTTACTCTCGTAATAATAGTTTTGTTTTAATTATCAATAAAATCAAATCGGTTTAAAATGTTTTTGCTTCTTCAAGGCTCTCATGTATAGATAATAGTGTCATCCGAGGAGGTCGTGAAAATGAAGTCACGATAGATAAATTTCTACATTTAAGTCATAGACGTTTGGATAGGTTAATATTGTCACAATTGCGCTCTTGTGGCAGCGACAACGGACAACGATTGTGCGACATTTGTTCTAACCCTGCAAACAAGTCAATCGTGTGAAAGTCACATTTTGTAGACAATCTTGACATATTATCGAATCTCAAGTCATGTCTGAGAGAAATATTTTAGAAAACGTGAGCGAGAAAATGCGTTGAAAATAATTTGAAAGAAAGTAATGTTATAGACTAAAAACGAATAAGTAATTATGAAAACTTTGATAGCATGTAACTCTGGTAGTAAGAATTGACAACTAGTCAGATCTCCTATAATGCATTTTGGGGCATTTTAGCCCTGGTAGGTGTAGATGTAATTTTGGTGGACGATCATGCACCTTCATATTGACACAACATGGTTTTGGTGAACGATCATACACCTCCATATTGACACGACGGGAATAGTAAATACCTAACTACACAAGAATGCAAATAAAAAGGGGTTTGGAATGGACATGCGGCTATGAATAATACGTCTTGGACGAGCATGACCAAGACATCTGACACACGACACAAGCAATATACCTTAGACAAGCATGACCGTGACATCCTCTCTCACTCAATTGGTTGACGTCTCTGTCAACCGACTCTTCACGAACTCAACGATGTATGATGAGGTTGACTTTAGGTCTCTCGACGCACTTCCAAGTGATCTCAACATTGAGAAGTCTTTTGCAATTTGCTAGGAACTATTGAAAATCAATTCTTGAGTCATCGACTCTTCGTGTCTTCTCTATCAAAGTCTCTTTTACTTTCTTCGCAGTAAAATTCTTTTTCGTGACATGAGGTCGTACCACCTCCTTGTGTCCGATATCTTTAGCAGGATAGTAACATTTCAAGTTACTGACGTGGACAATAGGGCTAGTCCGCATCCTTATGTCTAGCGGTGTTTCAACTTTCACCGTCTCATACTCAGCTTCTGAATTCGTTCCAAATTTTGCTTGAAAGGCATAGAGCGTTATCTTTTGTGGGCACTCAGTTTTTTAGTTGGTCCCTTTGCATATGAAGCAAGACAAGGAGATTTGGCTATGACTGGTTTGGTTATGAGGACTTCGCCATGGATTTCTACCCGTATAGTGGGAGGACTCACATTCTCTTCCACTTATAATTCTGTCACTTCTCCACCTTTAGGGGTTTGGGTTTGGGTTGATAATTTCTATTACCTCATTGACAGAAGCTTGGCTTGGCCTTTCAAGGATTGATTGTTGCTAAGGTCAAAACAATTGTTTGGCTGTGGCATATACCTTGAAAAGGTCTTGAACTTTTTGTTTATAGTTTGGTCTTCACCTACAACTTCAATCAGTCAACAAAGCTGAAGAACTTGTCTTTCTCAGATACGTCGTAAATATCCAACATAAACTCAGAAAACTGCTGAACGTGGTCTCGAATATTCCCTGTATACCTCAGCTCTCTTAACTTCCTCCTATTATCTCGACATTCTTTGGGAAGAATTATGAGCGGAGTTCTTGTTTTAAATTCTCCCAAGTGTCCACGGTACATTGGCCATCTTGAATATTCATGTACCCACCACAACTTTGCATCGTTAGCTAGATGTATTATGGCCATATGCCCTTCATCTCTTTTCTGTACTTATGGCTTGAAAGTATTATTCGAGGTCAAAGATAAAAAGGTATGTTCTTAAATACTCAAACATTTGTGAGACCATCTGAACGATCTCTTATTGGGCATTGTTTAGGCTCTCGATACGTTCCTCCATTCGAGCAATAGAGCCCATCGAGCTATCTCCACGCTCGAAGCCACCAGAAGTTATGACCTTGTCTTATAAGGTCTCGACCTAACCATTAGTTCATGGATGGGCATTGCCTCAAGGTGGTCTACCATTTTGTCGATCCTGTCAACTTTAGCGGCAATCTCGTTCATTTGAAACTCTAAAAGCCCAATTCCAGGAACGTCACTCAAGTAGAGAAATTGATCTTCAATCTCTACCAACCAATCAACCTGAGACTTGCCCAGTTGTTTTGTAGCGAATATGTATGTTTACCACGATTCAAAGAGTCGACTAAGCTATGATACCACTTATCACAATCGCACTCTTGTGGCAACGAGATAATGATTGTGCAACACTTGTTCTAATCTAGCAAACAAGTCAGTCATGTGAAAGTTGGACTTTGCGGACAATCTTGATGGATGATCGAGTCTCGGGTCACGTTTTAGAGAAATATTTTAGAAAACGTGAGTGAGGAAATGTATGGAAAACTATTTGAAAGAAAGCAATGTTATAGGCTAAAAGTGAATAATCAACAACCTTAACTTTGATAGCATATAACTCGGGTAGGAATAATTGACAACTAGTCATATCTCCATATAATACATTTTGAGGCATTTTAACCTAGGCGACTGTAGACATAATTTGGTGAACGGTCATACACCCCTGTATTGACACAACAGAAATAGTAAAAGTCTAA